TACGGATCTCCCTAAACCGAGGTTAATTTTCTCAGCCGAGCACTGTTTCAACTTTTTCGGGGTTCACTGACACTCTATTCTATGATATGATGTGTCCCATGAAGGTAGTCTGCTCAAAGCCAGAACATACACTTACTCAACTTTGCATACAACTTATTCTCTCTAAGAACCTGCAAAACTTGAATCAGATGGTGAGCGTGTTCTTCTCTACTTTTTAAATAAATCAAGATATCATCGATGAACACAATGACAAATTGATCCAGAAATTGTCTGAAAATCCAGTTCATCAAGTCCATGAAGATGGTTTGCTTAGTCCAAATGGCATAACCAGGAACTCATAGTGTCCGTACCTGTTTCGAAAGGCTGTTTTAGGAATGTCTTCTGCTCTTTATCTAATGGTAACCTAAACGCAGGTCTATCTTGGAGAAAATCTGGGCACCCTGCAACTGATCAAAGAGGTTATCGATCTTAAGGAGGGGATACTTGTTCTTGGTCATGATCCTATTCAGACATCTGTAATCAATACATAACCTCAACGTCCCATCTCATTTTTTTGTAAATGTGACTCCGACACTCTAAGGAGACACATTATGTTGGATGAATTCACTATCCTGCAATTCAGTGATCTGTTTTCTCAGTTTCTCCATCTTAACACGACTCATGCAGTAAGGAGCAACCGAAGTAGTCTTAGTGTCTGACTGAAGGTCTATGGTGAATTCGATTTCTCTGTCTACTGGCAGTTCAGGTAGTTCATCTGTAAATACATATGAAAAGTCTCAGACTACCAAAATCTCTTGAATACAAATTTGTTTCTTACGTTTTCCCTATACCACGTTCGGGTTGGCTTTTGCATCATGCTGAGTGAGATTGTAAGCTCTGCTCTAGATAGGAGGTCTAGTCTGGTTCTGGTTCTGGTTCCTCGGGCACTTCTTTGCATAATGTTGGGCGTTACCACATATGCGACAGGTGTTGTTGAAGCGATAGCAAGGTTGGTCCCTATGATCCTTGCCACAATGCTGACAGATTTTGCCGCGGCCTGCTGCTGGAACTTGAGGGGGAGTTTGAGTAATCGGTCTAGGTCTCTTGTTCTGTTGAACAGGTACAGTAGGTGATGGTCTGCGGTGTGGGGCTGAGGACCTGAGGTTCCCTACTGCTTGAGAGAAGGTGCGAAG